TTCATAATTAGAATTACGGTTTGAATCTATTTTTCCTTCAATGTCTCTAATACAAAAATATCAACTTTATTTGGATTTATTCTTGGAATAATAAAATTTTGACGTCCGTTTGTGTTATATTCCGTGCTAATAGGAATATATACTTGGAAAACACGGTGGATAAAATAAGTAAAAGTTAAAACTAATTACAATAAGAAATAAGTTAACAGTTATGTGTACGATCGTCGCAAGTCAATCCAGTTATGAGGGATACTATTGGAAGGTCGGTAGTTGTTGCGTATGTCTGAGTTCTACTTAACAGATCCCAGCTCGGCACAGCATGCTTTTAAGTATGGTCTGTCAAATACCTACCTGGCACAGGGCTCGCCCCTGGGCTGGTGGTATCACGGCTAGGACTAGCTTGGACCAGGTCTGAGCTGGACCAGCTAGGACAAGCCAAGACCAGCTATGACTAGCTTAGACCAGCTCTGACCAGCTTGGACAAGCTACGACCAGCTAAGACCTGTTTGGACCAGCGGCCCGAGTGAAAACATTCGGGTCGCCACGTTAAAAACTGACCTTGTGTCACAACCTGTCTCAGTGGGGGGGGGGTCAAGTAAATATCCAAATCCCAACTCGACGGTATTTGCCTGCCTCCCCACGAAGAAGGATGTGGCACAAGACCGGGTTTAATATGGAGCAATCCGAGCCCGTAGGCGCGGCCAAAAATTCCCCGTAACCCCGCATAAACGGGTTCAGATCTGTCTACCTCCCCGGATGAGATTCTGCCCATTCGGCATAGCTTCGTCCGGGTTCCTCTCTGCCTTTGGGCAGAGAGTTCGACAGCAGATCCCAGCTCGACCTCGTAGTCCGTTGACTTAGAGCTACTTATAGGTAGTTACTACTTATAGTGTAGTCACTCATGGGGTGGTGCCGGGTTATTCCATTACATCAGTTTGTAAGCGAAAACCTGAGGAAACTAGATATTTCTGTACATTCTCTAAGACGTTCTTTAAAAACCAAATGCTCAAAAAGTGGTAGAAGCAATGAATCTAATTTTTGATGTTAATACCTAGCTTATATATATATATATATATATATATATATATATGTGTGTGTGTGGGTGTGGGTGTGTGTATATATATATATATATACATACAGAGAGAGAGAGAGTGAGAGAGAGAGAGAGAGTGTGTGTGATTGAAAAGTAACTTCCTATTTTATGTATAATTGGCCAGCCAGGATTCCTGACTTAACGCACTGTGTCTATTTTTTTTCTTTGGAGTTGGTTAAAAGAACAAGTCTGCCATATCAAACCAAGATTTTGAAAGAACTTGAAAGGCGAATACAAGACATTATGTCTTCCACACTACAAGAGTTCCTGGTGAAATCAGTTGATGCGATTCCTGGACGGCTCGAGATGATAGCAAAATTTGGTGGCCATATCGAATTTTTAAGCATACATTTTTAATATCAGTGTGATAATTTTATAATCAGATCCACTAATCAAAACTGCCCCCGCTAAGTAAAGAGGTCATGACCTACCGATCTTGTAGACAAGTTAGACGTTATATTCGATACAACTGCAAGTTAGATGCAACGTTCACATAAGACACATGACATTTTCTATGAGAAAAGAAACGTAATTTAACAAAGGCACTTGAAAAAACGCATACCTTGTGAGTTAAAAGTTCACCATTTTATAGTCGGTAAATAATAATGGCCTTTTAAGAAATAAAGAAAAAAAAAACAAACAAAGTAGGTAGTCCTGAAAGCCAAAATGATCACACAGATATTAAAAACTAGCAGTAGAGCCCGGCGTTGCCCGGGATGTAACAGTAAGAGATAGATCAAGTATCGACCATCATAAAGACTGAAAAATAAAATTGACAAAGATTATTGTTTAAGGTTGACGGACACGCATGTCTTAATTAGTCTTTTTTTTTTTCTTTTTTTTTTTTTTTACGAATTGGTCAAATCCAAACTCAAACAAAAACATTGTTTTCAATCGTTATGAGTCTATCGATTGAGTAGAATTTTATTATAAAAAAATTGTCTTGTAAATGGAATTTTTAAAGCATTCTGAATATAAAAATAAAGAAAAAAGTGTGCAAGACAATAAGAAACACTACCTGCCAAAAAAAAGTGAAGTTTTGTTGAAATCGGTTGAAAAATGTAGGAAATCCGATCCCATATATAAATGAACACACACACATACAAACAACCTGGGTTTTATAATAAGTATAACTCGATATGAGTTGTCCGCCTTTCATTCTCGACAGTGATGCCTCTTAATCGTGTTTTCAAATTGATTTCGTGCAAAAACAATTGTGTATTTCCAGTTTTCGGCGCTGTCAGAACCACCGCAAGGTAATTTTACGTAGTCCTGTGAAGTTTTGTTGAAATCGGTTGAAAAATGTAGGAAATCCGATCCAATATATAAACGTACAGACACACACACACACATATATTCGCCCTTCAAATTCTACCAGAGTCTTGGTTTGATATAGTAGACTTTCTCCCTTAACCAACCCCGAAGAAAAAAGTCACAAGGTGTTAAGTCAGGACTCCTGGCTGGCTACTCAGACATAAAATAGGGAGTGACTTTTCAATCACCCTGTGTACATTGTATACCCGCGCTAAAATTGAATATGCTTTTATATTGAGTTAACAGTACATAAACATTAAGAAACAGAAAATTTCGTTAGAAACAAAGAAATGAGTACTGAACCGTTGTGCTATATCCGTCCACCTATATGGCAATGAATGCTGGACAAATCCCTCAGAGATGAAGAAGAACATAACAGAAATCTGATCCTACAGAAGGATGCTGAGACTGCCACGGACCGAACATGTGAGCAACGACGATGTTTTAGAGAAAACGGAAACAAAAAAAAAAAAGACACATACTTAATACCAGGAAGAGGCAGTTGAAACCTCTAGGGCGCATGATGAGGAGAGAAGGCTTGGAAAATTTAAACCACACAGGACAGTTTAAAGGCAAGAGAAACAGCAAAAACTACTCAGCAATCTTGAGTTGAAAGATGGAAGATTTAGAAGAGATAACAAAAAGGAATAATTTATTAAGAGCTACAAAGGACAGGAAATGGTGGAGAACCATGATCACCAACGTCCTGAAGGGACACAGCACATAGAAAAAAAGGAGCTTGTGTAAATGGAATGAAGGCTTAGGAGAGATAGCAAACAGACAAAATTTATTAAGAACTACAAAGAACAGGAAATCGTGGAGAGCCATGATCGCCAACGTCCTGAAGGGACGGCACAAACAAGAAGAAGAAGAAGAAGAAGGAGCTTGTGTAAAGGGAATGAAGGCAAGAGAGATAACAAACAGACAAAATTTATTAAGAGCTACAAAGAACAGGAAATCGTGGAGAGCCATGATCGCCAACGTCCTGAAGGGACGGCACAAACAAGAAGAAGAAGAAGAAGAAGGAGCTTGTGTAAAGGGAATGAAGGCTTAAGAGAGATAACAAACAGACAAAATTTATTAAGAGCTACAAAGAACAAGAAATCGTGGAGAGCCATGATCGCCAACGTCCTGAAGAGACACGGCACATAGAAAAAAAAGGAGCTTGTGTAAATGGAAGGAAGGCTTAAGAGAGTTAACAAACAAGCAAAATTTATTAACAGCTACAAAAGACAGGAAATGGTGGAGAGACATAACCGCCAACGTCCTGAAGGGACACGGCACATAGAAAAAAAAAGGAGCTTCTGTAAATGGAATGAAGGCTTGAGAGATATAGCAAACAGACAAAATTTATTAAGAACTACAAAGAACAGGAAATCGTGGAGAGCCATGATCGCCAACGTCCTGAAGGGACGGCACAAAGAAGAAGAAGAAGAAGAAGGAGCTTGTGTAAAGGGAATGAATGTTTAAGAGAGATAACAAACAGGCAAAATTTATTAAGAACTACAAAGAACAGGAAATCGTGGAGAGCCATGATCGCCAACGTCCTGAAGGGACACGGCACAAACAAGAAGAAGAAGAAGAAGGAGCTTGTAAAAAGGAATGAAGGTTTAAGAGAGATAACAAACAGGCAAAATTTATTAAGAACAACAAAGAACAGGAAATCGTGGAGAGCCATGATCGCCAACGTCCTGAAGGGACACGGCACAAACAAGAAAAAGAAGAAGAAGGAGCTTGTGTAAAGGGAATGAAGGTTTAAGAGAGATAACAAACAGACAAAATTTATTAAGAACTACAAAGAACAGGAAATCGTGGAGAGCCATGATCGCCAACGTCCTGAAGGGACACGGCACAAACAAGAAGAAGAAGAAGAAGGAGCTTGTGTAAAGGGAATGAAGGTTTAAGAGAGATAACAAACAGGCAAAATTTATTAAGAACAACAAAGAACAGGAAATCGTGGAGAGCCATGATCGCCAACGTCCTGAAGGGACACGGCACAAACAAGAAGAAGAAGAAGAAGAAGGAGCTTGTGTAAAGGGAATGAATGTTTAAGAGAGATAACAAACAGGCAAAATTTATTAAGAACTACAAAGAACAGGAAATCGTGGTGAGCCATGATCGCCAACGTCCTGAAGGGACACAGCACATAGAAACAGAATCAGATTGAATAAATGGAATGTTAGAAGTGATAACAGACAAAATTTATTAAGAGCTACAAAGGAGAGGAAATCGTGGAGAGCTACGATCGCCAAACGTCCTAAAAGGACATTGCACATATAAAAATGAGCCTGTGTAAATAGGTGGAATGTTTAGTAGAGATAAGAAGAAACAAAATTTATTAAGAGCTACAAAGTAAAGGAAATTGTGGAGAGCCATGATCGCCTGCGCCCTGAAAAGACACTCACATAGAAGAAGAAGAAGATGTCCGAGTAAATAAATAGAAGGTTTAGGAGAGATAAGAAAAAAGACAAAATTTATCAAGAGCTACAAAGGACAGGAAATTGTGGAGAGCCGTGATCGCCTATGTCCAGAAGGGTCACAGCACATAGAAGTGTTCGTGTTAGTGAGGTAATAAAGTACACTCTTGATACACTTGAAACACTGGTTTTCATCCAGTCACCGAAGTTAAGCAATGTTGAGCCTGGCCAGTACCAAAATGGGTGACTACTCCGGAATACCAAGTGGTGTTAGCTTGGGTGTGCGGGTGGTGTAATAGGTAACGGTTCTTAATGAAAAATCGGAGGGCCGAGTTCGAATTCCCGCCAGGTTTGTTGTATTCACTTACGCTCAAATACCATTGGGAAAAGTTTGAACCCACCGCTTCCCCCTCCAGCTATGGGTTAAATAGTAGGACATGTATCTGAAAACCATTATTATATCTAAAAATTTATTACAATCCAAAAATATGTTTCGGCTTTAAATAAGTCGTAAAATCAAATCAATCAATAAAAGACAAAACAAAAAAAAAGTACACTTGAGGAATGTTAAAAAACACATCGGCCGAAATTTAAAGACAATTTAAATTCTATTATTTACAGGTGTAATGCTGTCATTTTCTTTTAGGCTTCGTCTCAGAACTTTTTGATATAATCGGGTTAGGTTTACCAACTATTTGTGGTTGGAAACAATATTTCCTGCCATATTTGCAGATATTTATCCGAGAATACCTGTCTATTAGGGCGGTTAGCCTATTGCAGACGCTTGCTCAGGCGCATTTGTGTTTATTCAACACCCACAGAGGCCACCTGCGGTTTATACTGCAACTATGCTAGTTACAGTTTCTGGGAGAGAGCGTGTTATCGAGAGTGATCAACAATTTGAAGAAGGCCAGAACGCTCAAGTCCTCGGCCACGATGACTTGTGACTTCGAGTTAGTACCCAATTTCACTCACAAGTCTTGGGCCAAACCATGGTATCGTTTTCAGGCACTTTCCAAAGGTGCCGAATGATGGGATCGACCCTTCCAGTCCGATAACATCAGTCGACCATGGTGAGATTCGAACCCGGGTCTCATTGCCAGAATGCAAACGTTCTAACAACGTGCCCATCAGATATTTACGTGCAAGCAAAAATTAAAAAGAAAAAGAAATAAAGACGGGGCTCGGAAGTACGTAAATGTTGGTTTTATTTTTTTTAAAGTGTAGAAACGTGTTACGTGCCTTCTCTCTGACACCGAAAAAGAAAAGCTAGCGAATATTATAAAAGTCTGTCTTCACTTACAAATCCAGCAAAAGATTTTTTTTTTACGTGTCAGGAAAGGCTCTTCATCGTTAAACTATTCATTGCCCAAACTAGGCCGCTACTGATTGGTCGTTAATGGTCACATGACCGGTTAATCGCCGTGCATACTAATTACGAGAGAAGAATGAAAGTTAACCCCAAACCGCCTATAATGCTGAAGCGTTGTATGAAAAACAAGAATGAATATATTAACCCGAAAACTCTATAAAATAATGAAAATATATATAACGCTATATTAGTATTTACACTATATTGTTTGCATTGTTGCCTACATTTTTAATGTCATATTGACGACGTTTCGGCCGTTTACGCTTCGGCCTTCTTCATTTGATATTTTTTGGAATTTCGATCCGAAATCTTTATTTAGTCATCGCGGGGTAGATTGTTGTAATTCCGCGTATCATGTCTTTGGATATATCAGTCTTAGTTAATTCGCCTTGATAACTTTCCAAAGGTTCGAAATTCCAGCAAATATCACCTGAAGAAGGCTGGAGCGTGCAACGGCCGAAACGTCGTGAATCCGACAGTAAAGGTGAGGACAACAGTGCGAACAATCTAAATAGTGTAAATAGTTACAATACCTCATCTCAGAAATATAGACAGGCGTTGTATTAGGTTGTTCGGAAAATAATGTCGGGTTTTAGAAACAACTTTTTATCTCTGAATCACTGCATATAATTCAGTCAGTTATGTGCCATGCATGATACACGCTTAGGCGATCATGTATCTTTCGATACATGACTGACGAGGCAGATTTTTTTCGTATTGTAGGTTACTATTTCTTTCTGCAGTAGACCAGTTGCTATCCAAAGCGATAGAACCCGGTCTGTCCTGCTATTTACCCATAGATGGGTGGGAGAAGAAGAGGATTCATACCTTTCCCAAGGGTATTAGTACGTAAATGAATGTAATGGATTCGATTGGAAAGTCATAAATTATGTGCCATGCGTGATACACGCTATGACGATCATTTATCTTTCGATACACGACTGACGAGGCAGATTTTTTTCCCGCAGTCGGTTGCCATTTTTTTTCTGCGGTAGACCAGTTGCCATCCAAGGCTATAGAACCCGTTCTGTCCTCCTATTTACCCATTGTCAGTCAGTTATGTGCCATGTGTGATACACGCTTAGACGATCATGTATCTTTCGATACATGACGAGGCAAATTTTTTTCTCCGCAGTAGGTTGCCATTTCTTTCTGCGGTAGACCAGTTGCCATCCAAGGTTATAGAACCCGGTCTGTCCTGTTATTTACCAATAGCTGGGGAGAAGAAGAGGATTCGTACCTTTCCCAAGGGTATTAGCACGTAAGTGAATGTAATGGATTTATAAACAGTGTTTAAATCAGCCAAAATGGCTACCTACCTGGACATCTATACCTTTCTGCCCTCGTGTTACAAGGTTATTTGTGTTTTTAAGATAAATCTCTAACGGTTTGGATGCCAGGAAATCTTTGAATTGAGTTTCTGCATCATGTTTTTATCTTTATTGCCTTCTCTCCTTATAGTATATTTTTCTCACAATCTCTAACACGCTGTAACCATCTTAGTGACTTTATCGCCATGCTTGGGGTGAGATGATTGAAAAAAAAAAAAAGAAATTCGACCATTTCTGAAATTCTAAGACTATCTCCTTTCAGACGAGATCTAACACATATCACTCGGGAAATGTTCCAAAACTGTCAAATGTCCACTTTCGAGCGCAGTGTTGCGCTGTCTTCAGGCCTTACATCTGTCAGGCAGAGGCCGCCGAGCGGAAAATGAGTTTCCCCTTCACTAGACCGCGTAAACGATTTTGAACTCTCTCAAGCGATGATTGAACCGCTCTACCCCAGATAAGACAGCGGTTCTAACCCTAGTTAGACATGCTTTTATATTTTTCCCGCATAACTTTTTATCAGATGAACGGAATGAAATTTACAAGAGTGATTTATTTTAAAGTATTGGTACTCTTTAAAAATGAATTATCACATTATACATATTCGTGGAATCCCGTTACAGAATTGTAGACAAATGCAATATTACATAAACCAGCGTTTTTCAACTTTTTTTTTTTTTACACTTGCGTAACCCTTAAAATCAATTACACGTCTTAAGAAACCCCTGCGCAAAAACAAAATTATATACCGTACCTTTTTCTCGTCCTGGGTATGACGATAAACTACATCCGCGTCCTGGGCAAGACGATAAACTGCATCCGCGTCCAGGGTAAGACTATAAACTACATCCGCGTCCAGGGTAAGACGATAAACTGCATCCGCGTCCAGGGTAAGACGATAAACTACGTCCAACAGCAAGACCTCTGATCAGGAGGCTTTGAGGAGTGTGGAACCACCTCTTAATTGCTGGTGTTCCCAAGTCCACCCTGACTCGGGGTGGTAGCACCTGTTAGGGTCCCAGCTATGGGAAAATAGTTAACCCCCGAAACTGAGGTAAAAAGCATTATGAAAGTGTAAAAATAGGTTTTGATACCAGAAATACTTTGTAAAAAAATGATTACCAGAAATAAATTTTTGAAGGAAAAAAACTATTACCAGCAATACATTTTTGAAAATAATATTACCAGCTATACAATTTTGAGAAAAAAGTATTACCAAAAATGGAATTTTTGACAAAACAAAAATATTACCAGGAAAAAAAAAGTTGTCGGCATTAAATGACCCATTGAGATTGATATGCCGTAAAACAAACCAGAACCAAACCAAACCATATCTTTTTCATTTTATTTCCATCGTAGTTCACGTGGTAAATATTATAGTATATATATTTTTAAATAACTGCTTTAAGGAAAAATTAATACTTCTTTCTCAATTTTTTTCGGTTTATTATAGTTTATAAAATTCGATTAAATATAAATAAAATATATAATTCGATTAAATATAAATAAAATATATAATTCGGTTAATTACAAATAAAATTCATAGTGTTTGTTTATAATACTTCATCAGGGAGTTTTCATTTAAACACAAAAAATTCTAAATCCAAACGTAAAAAATAAACTGTTGTGGTGTCCTCCCTCTAAAGAGTCTATGTTGGACTCTTCCGCCTACTATAAGATTAGTAGGAGAGAAGGCCTTGGAGAAACAAGCGAATAGATTGTTCATCTGTCAAACTCTCTGCCTTGGCCGAAGGGCAAAGTTTCGCCTGGGGAGGTAGACAGGCCCCGAACCCGTTTATGCGGGTTCTAAGGGAATATTTTTGGCTGAGCATACGGGCTCGGAGAACCTACGGTAAACTCGGCCTTGTGCCACATACATCCCTCGTGAGGGGCTGTTAAATATTAACAGGCGAATAGATTGAACGCTGGGTCAATTGAAACACATTCACTAGTCGTTTAATAGTCTTCTGTTGTACTTACTGTTTAATATATATGTGCAATACTTGTTTTGTTATTTCTTTAACCATTGATTTGGTCACAACATAAACATATTAAATCAATATCATATACCTATAACATAAATATAAACAGAATGAAAACAGATAATTGCTGCATCAGTTTTTTTTTTTTTAATTTTTTATCCTTTATTGGCAATATTGAAAAGACATAAAGTAAATCAAGGCAAAATGTCCTGTGAACCATTAAATGAGCTAAGAAAATGTTACCTTCAAAGCCATTTGATAAACATGCTTCTCTAATGTGAATCCTGTGCTTGTTATTTGCTAAACAAATATTTAATTCGAGGTCGAACTTTAAATAAACACACACGGATTTCATTCTCAATTCAAAATTCGTCACATTGGGGGATTAGGTATTTCTGTAAAAATGAAGCAAAAACAAAGAAATAAGTAAAATTTAAGTACAGGTCCCGTTCACTGAGTGGGCCCTGACAAGTGAAGGTGATTTCACACTGGCGCCGTACAGACATCACTAAATATATTCCCAATGATTGTTATATATCTTTTAATTACTAACATAATAGTCTCGATAGAATGATGTCTATATTACAA